GGTCTTTGTTCACAGCCTTTGCATTGTGGCTCTGAATTTGTCTTCCCAACACAATGGATGTTACACGAAACTTCTAGACATCAATTACATACTGTTTGTCATAACTGTTGGCCATCTGCAATATTTTTATTTACTTTTAGTATCTATTTTTCTTAAATTGATATTTTAAGACTTAGATACATATGTTTATAACCCAACTTTAAAATATTTATTTCAGCTAGGAATGTAACTCAGCGTTAAGTGTGCTTGCCTTGCATGTGCAAGGCCTTGGGTTCAATCTCTAGCACTGAAAAAGAATATGTATATGTATACATATATACACATATATAATACTATATAATTTATAATACATAATATAATATATTGCTCTAAATAGAGGCATTCTTAAAAATAAACACCATAAAAACAAAAAAAATTATTAAATACTGGATAGAAAATGCCATCTGCAAGTTAGGGCTTGGAGTCCACTCTCTTTTTGTTAAAAAGGGAGAGAAGCATTTAAACCAGCCTAACACCAGACTGAAGCTTTCTCTTTGGTGTACTGAAGATAGAAAGGGAATTAAAAATGGAAACACTTCTATCCTTAAACAATTATTTAATGCTATGGTCTTTGACCACAGGTGTTCTAACCCACATTTTGAAAACTGATGTGGTAGAAGGCATTCAGAAGAGAGAAGGAAATTGGGTTTCAGCTTCACTTTCAAGCATCAAATTTTTTATCTAACAAGACATTTTTCTATCCAGCAACCCCAATACCCTGGCTTCATTTTTCTTATTTATAAAATGGGAAAGTTGGTAATTTTACCCTCAAAGACTGTATGACTTTTTAAAGTATTTTAGCTTTATCACTATTTATTTTCCAGACTGTCATTCATTCAACAAAACGAGTTGAGCCACACCAGAAGCACGAAGAAGACATCCGTGCCTTCATGAATCTTCCTTTTCCCCTTAGCACTCCTCCTCTATTTAAACGCCCGTGAGCCAGATATCTATCTTCTTTATTTAAAAAGACTTAATAAAACTAAAGCTAAGTGCAACTTAAAGCTTAAGGGCAGCTTATATTTAAATCCACAGCTCTTCAAACTCCCCCACCCCCTCCTCCCAGACCACACGTCCGCGGTGAAGCATACAGTGGCAGTTTCCCAGACTCCCACTAGAGGGCGCGCACATTTTTCTATTCCCAAGGAGGCGCTTATGTGGGTTCTAGCCTGGAGGTTTGGAATTGGTGTCTCCTTGCCCACTTTCTCTTCAACATGGGGTAAGTGTGGTGAGGCTTCAAGTTCTCTCACTCCCACCAGCCCATCCTCACCCCATGCAGTGCCTCCTCCTCTGCCATCACGAAGAATTCCTTTGCTCACAAAACCACAACAATTTTGTTTCTGTTTCCAGCATTTGTCCTTTTGACATTTTAGAAGAAATAAGATCCAAGTTTGATGCTGAAAAAAAAGTACTGGTTTCTTTAAAGAAAGGATTTCTCTTCCCTACTTCTCGTTTCTCTAGCTGTGGGGAAAATGCTCTTTTAAGCAGTTAAGCAGCCCCTTTGGACTAAAGAGAGTCTTTCAGGGACCTCAGGGTCCTTCTAAGCAGACCCTTGAAGCTGACAGTGGGCTCCTTTGCAGCACTTCGAGTTTTTTTATTTTTGGGGTGTGAGGGGGGACACACAGCTTTTCCCCCCTGAGTTGTGCATTCCACATCCACAGACTCATCGCCTCAAACACTGAAGAATACACTCCCAGAACAGCCCTCCCCACAAAGCAAGACTGGCGAGAAACAGTAGTTTCCCCAAGTTCTTTGCCTAGTGAGTTGCCCTAGTACCTTAGGCCTCACGCTTTGTTTGATTCCAAAGGCCCTTTATTCCCAAATGTCCATTCTGGCTCCCAAAGACATTAAGGAAACCATTTGTGAATTTGTTGTATCGCACATGGATGTGAAGTGATCTTTTTTTGGACTGATCGCCCCTCCATGGAACACAGGGAAGACTGAGAGCATGGCTTAGGCAAAAAAAGGGAGAACTGGGTCTTGCCCTCTCCCCCTTTTTGTGACCCTCAGCCTTTTCTGGAAATGAACAACTTCATTTTATTTTTTTTTTAAAAGGTATCAAGTCTTCTGAAGCTGCAGCTTTATGCAAATACGTTACTCAAGTAGAAGACTGGAGGGGAAGAATTATTTATATTCCACAGGCCTTACACACCCGAAAGGTGAAACTGTGAACGGCTGAATTTCCAGGAGTGGATCTTTGCATGATGAGCACATCCTAGCTATTTTTGTGGCACACAGTTCCCATATCAAACTGTCAGATTTTTTCCAGGCAGGAGACTTTATAATCATTCAGTAATTTTAGAATGACCCTGGATATTTCTCTCCTGTGGATTTCTTGACCTCAACTTTTTCTGGGCATTAGATTTACTAATAGGTCCGATTCATTTCTTTTTCTCCTAAACAGGTACAACACTCAGTCATTAAAAAGTAATAACGTGCCCTTTAGTTTTTGTATTGACTCCTGAAATTAGCAAAGAAAATGAACGTTTCTCTAGGAGTTATTGCCCTGCTCTGTTGCTGGCTTGCCCTCCCCCCAAAATACAGACCATTCTCCAAATTGAAATAAACGTAATCACTTCAGGAAATTGCTTCCCCCATTGGAAACTGATAGCTCACATCGAAATGTTTCCATAGCACAGCTGATGACAATTACGACTCACTGAAATTTCAGTTTTCTTTGATTGTGACATAAAAACTGGGACATAAATTAAAACTTAATTATCCTTTAAGGGTAATTGGGGTTATAAAACCAAGAGAGTCAGTGCATTCGTATTGCAGGAGTGCAATGTCTGATGGAATGGTATGTGTTCTGTCCCCAGTGTAGCTTTCAGATGACATGGTCGAGGATAAGGTAATCTCTACACAGCACGTGCCAAGAAAGCAAATCAGATGGGGTCACAAACTTGGAAAAATGTAGTAGGATTCTAGAACATTTTGGAATAATCAAAGTAAGCTGCAATGGCAGGGGAGGGTGTAGGACAAAGTGCTGGCTCACCTGTGAAGGTGCCCAATGGTGGAGCAAGGGACCCAGCACTCAGATTGCAGCCAGTGCCTGACTCTTTACACTTGGAATGAAGGTTCTTTCTTACCTAGGAGAGGATGAGATCAGATCTTTGGTTCCATACAATCTGTATCACCAAAGTCAAAAACAGGAGGGTGGATTTTGTTTTGTTGCTTTTTACGAGCCACAAAAAAGGGAAAGACTTTGGTAAATTAAGTTATAAATCAAGTGCACCAGGAGAGCTTGTGAAAGGAAGCCTTTAAGTGCAGGAGTAGGGGGGTGTTTCTTGCCCAGTTGCACATGTCTGTGTATTCTTGGGGATGCAGCTTTGTGTATTCTTGGGGTCAAATCCAATCTAATGAAACTTCCCAATCTTGGACCCCAAAGTCTCTCACAACAAAGACCCTCCTCCCCCATTCTAGATTTTCAAAAAGGTTTCACTTCCTTGTCTTCCCAGAGATTCGATTGTTCCCTCCCACTGCACACTGTTCTTTTTTATTTTTTTAAAGAGCTCTAAACCCAGCACATGACAGCCAAGTTTTTCTCTCTTTCTGTTCTTCTTGCTGTGGTTGAGCACAGAGTAGGTGCTCACAAAATAAGGCTGAGTCTTATGCATCCTTGAAACAGCATAACTCCAGATCTCTAAACTTTCATTTCTGCAAGATAAACATTGCTATGACATATTATCTACCTAGAAGGTTTTGCCAAACCCAGCCCCCTTGCAAAATCAACCAGGTTTTCCTTTAAGGGCATCCACCTCTACAACATATTTTTGGCCACAGGACAATATAAAGAGGCAGACTGGGCTTTCCAGCAGACGTCTGTTTAGCCGATGCGTCAGTATCATTGCGTCCTCTGATAATCCTGAGAAAGACAGAGGCAAAGTCCAGTTTATTTCCACCACCCCTGGGAAACCACTCCTAGAGAGACATCCAGGGAAAGTGCTGTGCCTGATCTGGGCTTTTGCAACCTTATTTCTTAATCCACTTTCTTATCTACTGCCTCACAAAACCAAAGAGAAATAGGTACAAACCACATCGACAAAAGATCAGAACTTGATTCTCTATGGCAAAGGCAAGTATATATTACAAATAGCTAAACAGCTGGCTTGGACCATATTGCCGGCCACTCACCCAGTTGAGGGATTTGAACGACATCATAACCCTGGAGAGGGTATTACTAGACAGCTGGTGTTATTTAGAATACACAAAAACTAGAGAAAGAAAACACAACCGTGCACACGCACACACACACACACGCACACAGGTTCAAGTTATGGAGAAAAATGTGAATAATGGGTAAATATACTGCCCCTCAGATACTCTTTCCTTGGGGACGGAGAGGTGACTGTCAGCAGTTTGCCTAGTAGAAGAATGAAGAAAAAGATTTTATTTTCAGTTAGTTTTACAGCTCAGCATAGTCTTTGCCTTGTTGCTGGCAAAAAAAAAAAAAAAAAAACCCGAGACAGTATCGGAAAGAGAGCCAATCCAGTGCTGTCTGCCCTTCTGTAGGTTTTAGGAAATTAGATCATTCCCCTCACTTGGCAACTAGGACAAGGGGTCACCCGAGCACTGGCTTCCAACCTAGTCCCCCCCACCCCCTACCCCCGCATTTCAGGGTTAATATTGTAGCATTTGCTAGAGACAGTCTTTTCTTCTTTTCTTTTTGTTAATTTTGCATTTGCTCTAAAATACAAGATTGCCCTCCTTGTCCTATTTGTAGTCCTTTAATTCTGGGGAGGTGTGTTAGCAGACGTGTGTCTTCACGCCTGGCAGAAAGTTAATCAGAGAACAGACCCTTATTTTCTATGGCAGCATAAGTCTTTTAATGTCTGCTCCCCCTGTCACTAACACACATTCTTTTAAGGGAAAAAAATGCTTCTGTGCTCTAGTTTTAAAATGCAAAGGTATGATGTTATTTGTCACCATGCCCAAAAAAGTCCTTAGTCGATAACTTTGCCAGAAGAGGGAGAGAGAGAGAAGGCAAATGTTCCCCCAGCTGTTTCCTGTCTACAGTGTCTGTGTTTTGTAGATAAATGTGAGGATTTTCTCTAAATCCCTCTTCTGTTTGCTAAATCTCACTGTCACTGCTAAATTCAGAGCAGATAGAGCCTGCGCAAGGGAATAAAGTCCTCAAAATTGAAATGTGACATTGCTCTCAACATCTCTCATCTCTCTGGATTTCTTTTTGCCTCATTATTCCTGCTAAGCAAATTCATTTTCAGAGTTTGTACTTCAGAAGCCATGGGAAAAATCAGCAGTCTTCCAACTCAATTATTTAAGTGCTGCTTTTGTGATTTCTTGAAGGTAAATATTTCTTATTCTTTTGAAGTCATTTTGGGGAATTTTATTGAAATTGTTCACTCTTTTCGTCTGCCTAGGATTGTTATTCACATTAGACTTTTCATTGTTTCGGAACTGGGAGTTATTTATAAATTGCTGAATATGCAATTCTGTGGGATCTGAGAAATAGCTGCTTCAGGAGACAGACGTTTTTGCACAGATATCTGTATGAGTAGAAACTGTTGCAAGGTACTTATGCTAAATCCTCCGCTTCTGCAGGGCTCCCGGTGGTGTCACAGAAGAGTCCTTTAAATCCCGTCTGTGGCTAGGGGCTATAGAACATGGGCAGGAGCTTTGGGATTTTTTTTTTTTCTTTTGCAGGTGCAGATGTTGTCTTTTAAAGACCATGTTCAGTCATATGTGTGCATGTGTGTGTGTATGCATGTGTGTAATTTGTCAAGGCTTTATTTAGGAGGCATGCCACAAAGGAAGTGTTACATTTTAAATGACAGGAAAGTTTTTAAATCTGTGTTTTGGAACTAAGGACCCGGAACTCTGCACTTACTCCCGGAGAGTCAAAGTTAGAGTGAAGTTTAATTTGCTCTTCAGAAAATGAATTTGACAACTAATGCTGCCTTTGCATATTTGTATAATTTAAATAAATGCATACTGTACATGGGAAACTGAAACTTCCCAGCAGCTGCTTATCCAACTTTTCTCATTTGAAAAGGACTTTCCTGGGTGAAGTTTGGATTTGGAGTTTCGTGCTGGGAACCTTTGATTTTATACTCAGTGCTGTAAAGTCTCTTTAGGTAAACTTGGCTGCTGTGGTCAATGCACCGACTTCTCCTTTCTAATTACTGGCTCAAGTTCAAGTTTCCGTTCTCAGCAAAATTATATCCTTCCAAGACTTGTGTCTTTTCAATTTGCAAGCACTTTTAAGCCGCTGTCACTGGCTTCTCGATTCATAAAATATTCCAGTGGCTGAATGCAGCGTTCACTTGCTGCTTTTCAAATGCTTCACTGCTAAGACTTTTCTTAGTCAAGTAAGTGGCTGGGGAGTTTAGGTTATAAGCTGGTCAGCCACCTGACTGCTGTCCTTCTGCTACCAGCACACACCGGCCGGCCACCTTGCTTTAATAGAAATGAAATCAGTGCTCACATGAACTGCGTGGTCCAGCAGCTGGCTTCTCCCCTCCCTACTTCCAGGATCATCAGAGGCTGTGGAATGTTATCTAAGCATTCATTACAAGTTTGGAAAATTGTCTCCAAATGAACTTTTCATGCTGCGTCTGCTGAACTGTTCAGAAGTGGAGTTAGTAATGCGTCGTTAACCTTTTCCTGTCCTTGCAACAGGCAGTGGTTGGAGGTTGCTGTGTGGTCTTCCCAAAGTGATTCCATGAGTGAAGGTGTCCTGCCTAGAGGCAGGACAGGCTGATTGCACCCTGAGTCTCAAGGTATTTCCTATGCTTGAGCCAGGAGAAGGAGGGAGTCATTGAGCAGTCTAGGACTAGGATCCCTATTGGAGCAGCTACAATGGGCACATAATGGAAATTGGTGGGTTGATTGAGGGGAAAAGATTGACTCCACTCCCAGCTCTGCAATTTGCTCATTGTTTGAATGGACAAAAGGCAGTTTACCAAGGCTCAGAGCATACCTGCCTGCCTGGGTGACCAGATGTAACTAGATGCTCTCACAAACCCCACCCACAAAGCAGCACATGTTTTTAAGTCTTCAGTTTTCTATTCACATCATCCTCATAGTACCCACCCTGACCTGCTGTAAAAGACCTGGAACAAACAAAAATGATGACACCTACAGTGAGTATTTTCCTATGACTTTTGCCCTTGCATTTTACTGAGCATTTTCATTGTGACCCAGACATCTGGAATCACTTGATATTCTGTTTATTTAAGGTAAAAAGAATGGTTTTTGGAAATGTGAATTTGTGAATGAATTTTTAGGAAGTGTGTTTTGAGGTTTTGGATTTTTTTTCTTTTTTCTCTTCTCCTGCAGGTTCTTCTTGCTTTCCCTCTATGCTATTTTCCCCTCCCCTTCTCCATTTCTTTTGTGGCTGGCGAGATAGAAGCCCGAGGAAATGCTGAACATATGGGGCCACTTGTTTTAAACTTCAACTCCAAACCAACTTCATTATTGTTTTCTGTTTTGGGAACATAATGTGATAAATTCTCTTATTCTCTGTGGGTGTGCTGGACTGTTCTCTGAGCTAAAGGAAAATGCACCAGAGGTTCTATCTTGTCCTAGAACAGAATTCAGTGGTGGGAAAAAGAAGAAAAAGAAAAATCCATTAGGACAATCTTAACCTTTTAAATACTAGAGACTTTTGTGCATTGCTGAAAGTAAATGTGTTATACCAGAAATAACTATTTAAAATGATAGTTTTGACATCTAAATTCACTAAGGCTATAAGTTTGAGTAATATTTCCCATGGATTTTAGAGAAACTGAAGAACTTGGAGGCACCTAGCATCACAGGTGCTGGGCCTTCTGCATTATCAGAAACTCAAAAAAGAAGGAAGGGATGGAGAAATAGGTTTGGTACAGTGGCATGCATTCTAGAACTAGAGTCAACTAGATTTGAACTGTAAGATCAAATATGGCTTTGTCCTTTGTAAAGACTATGAAGTCTAGTTGGTTTGGATTCGCTTCAATTCTCACTGAAGATATTGAAAGTGAAACTCACTAGTACTTCTTGTATAAGGAAGAAAAATGAGGGCTAGATAATAATTTGTCCCATGTAGTCCCCTTGGTTTTGGCCATGTAGGAGGTGGAGGGCTTTCATCCTAAGGTTCTATTGAGAAAATGGCACACATGTTCAATGGAGCTTTTTCCTCCCCCTCTATTTTATGGCCACTATGTATAATTATTTGCAAATAGAGGTTACTTTTCATCTTCAGCCGCCTCACAAGCATTAACTAAATATTTACTTGTGTTAACAAGAGTCAAAAGGTTAGATTTTTTCCCCCCAATTTCTGAGCTGAAGGTCTGGCTATAAAATTTGAAATCTTGTTTAAAATGATAGAACACACTTTGCCAGTGAGGCATAACCATTAAGTTGAGAGTTCATTTAGGATAGGGTAGGGGTGTCAGAAAGTGAATGACTGAATCTGTTTCTCCAACAGTGATGGGGTTAAAGGACCTGCCCCTGCTGTGAAGTTCAAAAAAGCCTCTTTTTAAAATTATAACTTCCAGCATAACTCCATGACCCTTTTAATAGGATGCCTCACCTAAGGACCTGTCTGAGGCTCTTTCCAGTGCCTCTGGAAGCATGCCTGTGTGAGAGGCAAAGCTATTCACCTTGGAAACACCCCTGGAAGAAACCACATTTTGGTGCCACAAGTAGCAATATGGAAAAATTCAATGGTCACCTTTTCTGCTTCATAGAGTGAGGGCAGGGACTTGAGTGGCAGGAATTCTGCCTCTGGCAAGGATTGCCATTTGGCTCCAATCATTGTCTAATTCGTGCCAACCAGGGGTCCCTTGGTGGATTTTGTTTTAAAAAATGGATACAGTGACACATAATTCCCTCCAAGAGATGAAGTCAGAATTCCTGTGACTCAAAAAAGAAGGGTTTTAAACACAGTGGTCTTGAAGAGAAGAGCTTAGCATCCAGAAGTAGCATTTACTTAGTGTTGGTGCTCAGACAACAACACCTCGAAGTGTGGCTCTTTGGCATGCTGAGTACTTTGAACTACAAGGAATTGGAAGTCTGTCTCTGACCTTCTCTCGCCTTCCTTTTAGGTAAAAGGAAGACAGGCCATAGGAACTAAAAACTTTCTTTCCCAAAGGAAGATCTTTAAAACCTAGGGATCTGACTCTAACCTTCCCCTGACTGTTTGTAGAGCATCTGGCCATAAAGAAATGCTTGGCCTACCTTGTCTGATAGTAGGTCATACAATTCTTGTTCTAGACGGGTCCAGTACACAGCAGGGCAAAGAAGAATCAGAACAGATAAGCCTTGCTGGCTTTCTCCACCTCCGTCAACTAGCATTAAATCATATCTTTTTTTGGCCGATGACATTCCCACCTGGCTGTCCATGCTTCACTGAACTAAAGCATAAAAAAGCAGTTTTCCCTGGGTATTTGATTCTTCATTCTGAAAGATCTCATGTCATATGAAACTTTAATTAAACCAATGTACTTATACTTCTTGTTAATCTGTCTTTTATTATAGGCCATGACCCTTATGATGGGTGAGGAAATGTTTCACACCTTTTTGGCCCTGCTTTAGCACTTTAGCATAAATCACTTTCATTCCTACATTTTCATATTTTTCATGTTTCTGGTTTGTTGTTTCTTTCCACTTGTGGTTGTGTTAACAGCTGATATTGCCAGCGAAGAAATCTCATTCATTCTCTCTCTCTTCTCTGGAGTATTTTCACAAGTTTTTTGTTTTTTCGTTGTTTGGTTGTTTTGTTTTTTTTTTAACCACAATAAATTCTTCTTAACCAGCAGCCTAGGAGTGCTATTCTGGTTAGGTTAATATTCTGGTCAATAATGAATGCATATGCAATCTATGGATGGCCAATTTTTAGAGAAGTTAAATTAGCAAAGCACATGTGGCCACAAGTCTACACTGGATACTACTTAACCTTTGATGACCGAAAAGTTTTACCAGAATCTCAGAGTAATGTGAGATCTCACTACCAAAATAGCATCTTCCACTTACACAGTGATTGTTTGCAGATCTCTGATCCCATTTAATTGTAATGGGAACCCATAAAGAAGAGGTTCAGGAGAACTTTTCCAAGGATCTAGCAGCAAGCAGATTAAGCACAGGTTGTTTGATGCCAAGACCTGCTCAGTCCAGGACTCACAGTAGGTCCTCAAGTGTTTTGTTGGACCTCTGGGCCAGGTAACTCTGATTAATAATAACAAGAGGATGCTGAGCGTCAATGCACACTCATCTGACCTCACTCCCCTTGCAAGGGCCAAGGAGGAAACCTAACCCTCTTTCTGTTTTTGGCAGGTGAAGATACACATCATGTCCTCTTCACATCTCTTCTACCTGGCCCTCTGCTTGCTCACCTTTACCAGCTCTGCCACAGCTGGACCAGAGACACTCTGCGGGGCTGAGCTGGTAGATGCTCTTCAGTTCGTGTGTGGAGACAGGGGCTTTTATTTCAGTAAGTAGCCTCCCTTCTCCCTGTGCTGCTGAGTATCTGGCTCTGCAACTGTGGGGAGGGTGTGAATAGCTGAGCAATTACTGTGACTGGCAGTCATTCTCAGATTAAGATCCCTCACCTTGAAGTAAGCTTATTGTTTCAATGGGGCTTTGGCAGATTTTGGAGGTGTATGGTGGAATTTTCTTCCTCAACAGTTTGTCTTCAGCCTTCCTGTTGAGCCTTCCTTCAGCTATTATGGTCTACTCTCTTTCTTCTATTCCTTTCAATGAAAGGAGTAAAGTAGTAAGGACTTTCCACTCATGTGGACTTGGGGACAGAATTGAGGGGCCTGTTTGAGATATTTCCATGCAATATGAAGTCACCATGAACAGATACAAAGTGAACTTTGCTCAAAGACATGTTTGCAAATGTACAGGATTGCAAATGTCCAGGTTGCCAATGCCACCTGGAGCATCATACCAATGTGTCCTCTATGCAAGGTGACCCTGATTTTTTTTGTCATTATTCTCATTTGGCATAGCTCTTCTCTGGAACTCTCCAGTGATATGTTATAGGGGAAAAGGTCTTTGACAAATGCAGAGTCACTTATCTCATAAGTAGGTCTCATGCAATTAAAAAGTCAACTGTTAATAAAAAGTAGACAGCAGAGTGAATGCCTGAAAACAATAAACACAAACAAAAATCAATGGTACCTGAGAGAGCTAGTCACTTAAAGAATCTACCTCACATGCATCCATCTCACTATATATTACAAAACAGTGAAAATTTTAAAACCAGATGCTCACTCTGTGTAATTCTTTGGGATTTTAGAGAGTTCCAGAAAATTGAGCATGAATCATTTTTAAAGGTTCTTATCACTCAAGTGTAGACAGCTTACCTCAATAAGCCACTAAGCTTCAAATAGCTCCTGTATGGTTCACACACTTGAAGTCTCTCATCTTCTTCCTAAATGTCAGCTACTCTAGGTAGGTGGGGTGGGTGTATGTATATGTGAGAGAGAGGGAGAGAGAGAGAGAGAGAGAGAGAGAGAGAGAGAGAGAGAGCATGGGGGAAGAGAGAGAGAAAGACTAGTTGGAGATGGGGAGGGGAGAGAGGAAGGAGGAGGCTGGTAGAGAGACTGGTGATCTATAATTACCATGGATTTGAAAAAAAAAAAAAAGACAAGTTACAGAGATTCAGAAGTGCTTTTTTCCAATGGGCAAAATCCACTCTATGATTCCAGCCAGTGCTTTAACTGAGTGAATTCAATTGTTTTTCTGTCAATAGAACACTTCCATCTAGTTCTCTGTTGCAGTGCAGATGAATGAGTACATTGGGTGGGTGCTTTTCCAGTAGCAAACTTGCTTTACCTTTATATGGAAGGTAGATGTGGAACATCAACATGGCCCAAAAGTAGGTTGTAATAATTTTATAATTCGGGCTACTGATCCACATTTTGTTTAAAAAAAAAGTATGAATAAGTGATTCTCATTTATTATGCCCAAGAGGATTTTCTTCTGCCTTGGTAATCCATTTGTGTAATTCCCTTTCATCCAGTTCACTAGATAATTTCCAAGTGCCCTCTGTTATGTACCAGGTTGAATTGTGTGCACTTTACGACATGCTCCAGGATTTTCATGCATGCTATATGGAAACTGGACCCTTCTGTGCTTGTGATGTTTGCCTTAGATTAAAAAAAATGAGAATGGAAAGTCCTAAGTTAATGTATGCTCTCTCTCTCTCTCCTCATCTTCTCCTATATCTCGGCCTATTTTCGTTATCTGGTTGTTTCGGGGGTTCGGGCGTGTTGCGGGCGGGTTCTGTCTGGATGTGTCACCTGCTGCGTTGTCCTGTGGGATCTGCGTTGAGCACCGTTTTGTGTGGTTTGGACGGGGCTCGAGGAGGCTTATCCTGTTCGTTTTGGTCGGTCTGCATGTCAAGCGGCTGTTAGTTCCGTCTGTTGGTCTGCGGGCGACCTATACTTGTCCGTTAGAGGCGTGCAGAAGTCTGTTTCTGGGGTATCGGTTCGGATTAGGTGTAGTGGTCATCGTCGGCTGGGTTGCGTTATTGCGCGGTCGCGTTGTTGTCGGGTGCATCGGTATTGGTCCTGAGTTTTCGTCTGGGTGGGTCGGGGTTGGTCGCGGGTGTTCTGTGTTGTGGTTGATTTCTGGCTAGCGGTTTCTCGTGTTCTTTTGCTTTTTTGTGATTTCTGCCGGGGTGTGGTGTCAGTTACTCTGGTGATTTTTTTGGCTGTTGATTTAAATCTATATATAATATAATATATAACATATATATAACAATATATATATATATACATACATACACATACAAGTATTAGACAATTATGAGGGAAACCAATTTCAAGGCACAAAAGGGTTCTTTTATGATAGTGATCAAAGTTTAGCAAATGTTTTTAAATTGTATTTTAATAACCTAAAATGAGAAAGTTACATATAGAAACAAAATTTTGAGTATGACTTTGGATAGAAAGCACCTCTGTAAGTCATATGTTGTTCTCAATATTGTCATTGAGAATATATGTTTCATATGTTTGCTTACTGAATTCTGTAACTCAAGTTAATCCCCTCCCTGACATAGTTCCTCTTGCTAGCTTTCTGGTCAAGTGGAGAATGCTGTTAATGCCTAAGAGAAGTTAGCCATCATGAATTGCTTTTAATTTACTTCAAAACATTGATAGAGCATTTTATGTGTGTAAGACAGTTTCCTGAGCATGAATAAGATGTCTTGAAATGACTAAGATTGACCTTGCCTTTAAGGGACTCACAATCTAGTTGGGAGTTTTAAAAAAGTACCCATAAGCACTATCAATTGTCATACGACAAAAATAACCTTGGAAGAGGAGATTATGTCCTGATGATTTTCCTGAATATTTTGTATCATTTTTGCCATAAACTTACCAGGCTCTCCTCTCCCACAAACAATACTCTGGGACTACTTGATGCCAAAGACCATGTCTGATTATCCTTGAATCCACATGTCAAGTTCAATGTTTGGCTGATATAGTAGTTGCTTCTATTTAATTATTGAAATAACCATATTGCATCCAATCAAATCTAATGGAACTGCTTATATGGGATTTTAGTCTTAGGAACTACCAAGAATTAGAGTAGGCAAATACTTTGGACCATACTTATACCTCCTGCTGACCCAGTTATTTGATAGAATTGGTTTTCCTTTTTTTAACTGAATATAACATTTGTATACTCACAACAACTTAGAGGTTATATTTTGCTCATCCCCAAGCTACACTGATGGTCTGTTTTGTGTCTAAGCCAATTATTCGTACAGAAATTAACTGTTGTCAACAAATTTTATTGAGTTTCCTTTTCTCCCCTGAGATTTACTGTGTGTGGAGAAGTCAGCTCTAAGTGTTTACAGTCTTCAGTCTTCTACTTTTTGAAGGAAGCATTCTTCCCCACTTCTGTCCCCATCAGTTGACACTTATTACTGATTCTTATCCCTATTTTCAAGGTTTTATTGTGGCTATGCCTTATATTTTAAGCTGCTTCAACTCTATTTTGGAAGTATGGATTTTTTTTAATGGAGGAAGGCAATTTCCAAACTTAGTATGAAATTTAAGCACCTAAAAGAAATTCGTCTTCATCTCTGTTTTTTTGGTCAATACAGACTATTTAGCAAGTAGAGTTTTTAATCCTATTAGAACTGTTCTGAATAAAAACATTTTATAGTTCTTATTTTGTATAGGGTGACCCAATCTTTGCATGAGCTCATAGTCCCCTCCAAGCCCAAGTTCCACTGGAGCATAGCAAAAGCAACCTTCTAGATCATGTTTTGTGAGCATCTTCCTGGTATAAGTGGAACAGTTCCTCTATAATTACTGCATCTTCCCCAGACATTTTATGAAATGAAAGATCCAGTGAGGAGCTAATTACTGATTCTTCCCTGTACATCATAGTAAGAGAGCTTATCAACCAGCCTTGTACTTTCATAGTCCTGTGAGGAAAACAGTGACATAATAGAGGTGAAGCACATTGGGAGAGAGCTAGCTATATCTGGCCAGACTGATGAAGCACTTGTAGAGGGTGTCTCATTATAGCCTCGTTTTGCATGAAACACAGCAATAGGTAAAATGAAATAGGAGAAGTTAAGTTTGCCATGGGTATAATTTTTGACAGCCATGGTGATTAACCATTTTAACATGTTGTTTGGAGCTTGTGGAATTTTCCTCCTTGGAGATATTTTAAAATTGACAGACAACCAACCATCTTGGATGGTTTCAATTAAGAACAACCAAAAGAAAGAGAGTTCCTAGGGTCCTTTTTAGTTTTAAGAGTCTATAAACAGTCCCTTAAATAAACTATATATGCTTTACCTCAGGCGGTCTGGGAAAAAGGAGAAGTAAATCAATTAGAAAAGAAAGTTGGATACCCTTTCAGCTATTCCAGATTTATGGCTTTGGTAAAACATACTTCCAATGTGTAGTTATTAAGAACAGGTCTGAATAAACGAATGACATTCTTTATGTGTTAAAACATACTGTTTTTAAAGAGTTTAAGTGAAACTTTGCAATTAACTTTCATTTTTATTGATTGCATAAACCTTCCTAGATTTAGGTTATTATTATTAATTCAAGCTTCTTTGCTGATATATAGTGCTCAGAAAACTGTTCCCAGACCTGTCATTCATTAGTTGTATGACTTTGGCAGGCATTTAAACTTCCTGTGCTGAAATGTCCTTGTCTATAAAACAAGGAGATTTTGTTAAAGTAAGTGATCTCTTCTAACTTTAACAGACTTATAGTCTAGGCTGTGATTAACAAGGATTTGATGCTACTCAAGAAAAGAGAGCCATGGATCTAAGTAGTGACCAAAGAACACTTAGCCTCTTTTATCTTTTGTATATTATTTCTTTGGGATCCCAAAGATAGGAGATTCACCCACTTAAACAAAGAGGAGGCAGATTCTTTTTTTTTAATTCTTATTTTATTCATATGTGCATACAGTGATTGGGTCATTTCTCCCTCCTTCCCCCTGCCTCTC